ATGAAAACTCAAGGAGATAACGATTAAGAGGTGAGATCTGAAGGAAGTAATTCTATCCCTGTGCAAATTCTGAAATTATTTTTTCCCTTAAAATTTGCCGTGTGAAAACTTCTCAACTTAAATTCTTAAAAGCATGTGTTGTGGATAAAGGTCAGGTGTAAATTAACACAACTATACTGCACTGTTCCTATGCCCTAGAGTTATGGCATTCTTTTTTTTTCTTTTTCTTACCCTTCTTCCCTTAGTTGTACACTTCCAGTGTTGTCTGAAGTGGTGTGCCCTGGGTGGGAAACCTCATGGCATCTCAGCAGAATCTAGGTATCCTACTATAAATAGCTGAATTTCAACCCAAATGAACATAGTCAGAATAGCTTGGTATGCAGGCTTAGGTGACCAAATGCGGGTGTCTATTTTTGAGTTCTCTAGGTGCCATTAGCAATATTGCTAATCAATATTGATGGCACTGATAGTTTCCTCCTTATTGTGGCATAAGTTGCCTAATGTTATTTGTCTACTGCCTATTCACAGGCACAAGCTGTGTAATGTTATTTGAGATGCCCTAAAGTCTCCTGCCTGGCATTGAGGTGGCCTACTCATCCAAAAGGAGTTGACCTCCAGGAGGGTCTTCGCTGTATGTGTCCTCTCCAGGTGGGTATCTGGGTTGAGGGATGAACCAGGAAGAGAGGGGGAAGCATGACATGGCATTTTCCTTAGTACTCATTTTGTATGTAACTAAATATCCAAGCCAATATTTCTCAGGGTACAGAGTCTGAACCGTATATTTTTGGCTTTGTGCTGCTGGTTACAGCTGTTTGAATAATTTGACCAGAAAGTAAAAAAAAAGTAGGTCAGAGCTTCAAGAAATCTCACTACAGTCAGCAAGACTCCAGGCAGAGAGATTACACACGAGCAGCAAAGTATCACAAGTTTCTTAGAAGTAGAGCCACACTAAGTAAAATTTTTCATCAGTGACTAAAAATGAAATAGAAGTAACATTCATTTGAATAAAGGCAAGCTGCTATGCTTTTTTATGAAGTAGCTTATTTTCTTTCTCTCTTACATACCTGCTTGTAAAAGTTGATTAACTATATTTACCTCCTCCGACTGTTTTCTTGCATGATTCTAAGTTGATCAACAAACAAAACAAAAAAAAAAGGAAGGAAAAAAAAACATTACTGGCTGGCCATTTGGTTTAATTTACAAGTTTAAAATGATGAGACAAGCTTTTAGATTATTTTGTTGTCCTCAATTACTAAAGCTCCAACAAGTTATTTGAAAATGGATCATTTTTTAATTTATAATCAAACTTGAAAGCAGGTCGCTAAAATGTTTTCTAAAGGAAACAGACACATCCAGAAGTACTTCGTATGAAAATCTACATCTCATTTGCTCTTTTGGGGTTGTAAATAATATGCACCCTAGAAGTACTAAAAAGAACAGTAGAAGTGTGTCCTTACCTAGTTTTGCCTTCAAACATACTTCTTCTGCAAGAAATTATATGTGATTATTAATAATGTATAAGTTTCTGTTTCTCTTAGCTGACTACAAAGACAAGACGCTCAGGAACACCCAGAGACTTCTATCATTTTAGAAACTTAAATTGAATCTCACTGGTAAGTTGAAAGGCCAAAATGAGATAATGGAACTCCTCTAGACTGTGTCTTGTTTACTGTTATTATTTGACAAGAAATGTACGCTGATGACACACAGAATTTGCAGAAATTGCAGCAGAAATTGTTACTTGTTTCTTCAGGCTAGACTGGATTGAGAGGATCAGAGATGAGAGTTTGCTGAGCTTGATGAGAGCATCAGAGTCAAAGCCACGGGGTGCAATTTAGCAGTGAACAGTTCAAGGCTTGTTATTTAAATTTCTTTTCTCTAATAATCTTGGGAATTATTAGCAGGTGAAAACAGAGGAGGCAAAAGATCAGAATACATGGATTACTGTGATCCAGCCGTGCAAAAAAAATGGAGCATAAACCTGGCATGGAACAATGGCATTTTCAGAGCAATTACAGCATCAATACAGTTATACCTCAAGATATTAGTGCAATCATACTAGCTCATGGTGTATCAGTCTGTTCACCATCTTGCAAGCATCAGAGGACTACCCTGAGTGATTGACTCTACTTCAGGCTACCTATGGAGTGGCCAATACTTTTTAATTATAAAGGATAACGTGACCAATTGCCATCAAATGCTTTATGCCGATAAGGACTGCTACTTTGGAGATTCATGTCCAAGAAATCAAAAGGCCCTAGAAGAGTGTCTTTGATTTTATGTTTTCAAGATATCCTCACATTTTTCAAGGAGCATTTACCTTTTACCATGTTCTCCCTCAAGTTTACTGGGAAAAAAAAATTGCAATATTAATTATTGACTATCTCAAAACAATAAAACATAAATTATACCAGTCAAAGGATCTGGAATGCTAGTTGGAAGTTGAACCCATCAGTTCTGTAGAAAAATTAAGCCATTTTAACAGAGGGTTATTTCAATACCAGAAGACCTTAGAAATACCCAAAGAGAAAAGAGCTACTGGAACAGCAACCAATTTAGTGAAGAAGCCCTTCTACCACCTCACATCTGGAGAAATGATAGAGGCAAGGAGAACTTCCACGTGCAAGTAGGTAGGCAGATAAAAAAAGTTTGTATTGGATTCACCAGCTGATGCTGACACTGATAGGACAAGGGGTAATGGCTTTAAACTGAAAGAGCATGGATTTAGATTAGATGTAAGGAAAAAATTCTTCACTGTGAGGGTGGTGAGGCACTGGAACAGGTTGGCCAGAGAAGTTGTGGCTGCTCCATCCCTGGAAGTGTTCAAGGCCAGGTTGGATGGGGCTTTGACCAGCCTGGTCTAGTGGAAGGTGTCCCTGCCCATGGCAGGGGGGTTGGACTTTACATTCCCTTCCAACCCAAACCATTTGATGATTCTATGGTTTATATATATATATATTTTATTCTTGTCTTGAGGAAGAGTGAGCTCTGAAGGAATACAAGCCACTGACTTGTTGTATTGGAGTCCACACAGCAGGAGAGTACCCCAACTTGTCTGTGCTGACAAGATCTGCCTAGGAGTGTAAGAAGCAAAGCTCCCTGCTTAAGCAGCAGTGGCAGTACACAGAGCTGAGCAGGGTCCAAATACCCCCACTTCGGCCAGGTGCTCTAAAAAACTAAAATACTTAAATATTGATCATGCCTGCATTATTATCACACCTATAATACTGCTTCTGAGACTGTTGCTGGCTCAGAAGCATAAACTTTTCTCCTCAAATATGTTCACGTGGGTTTATATTCCGCTGCTTCACTACTCACCTGCTTTACGGCATTGTTTATAACTACCTGGAAAAACAAAGAAACTTTTTAAATTTTTGTTTTTATTTTTTAAACAAGATGAGTATTCAGAATATTGAAGTAAAACCTCAAATTTTCTCATTTTAAAATTCATTTTTTTCATAAATCCACTATTCTAAAAGCTAAAATCATATTCTGTGTCTGTAAATATCTGTGATCATACAAAATGGCATCTCATAGAAGTGACCTCCCTGTAAAAGATTCTCTGTGCATTCACACACATGCAACTCCCCACCCTACTCTACATTTAACTATATGTCTGTTAATTTTGTCTCTCTCCCCCTCATTCCCATATGTTTGTTTCTGAATCTGTTACTTAAGTTTTCATTAACTGCGTTTTGCATTGTAGGTTAAAACTTGCATATCAAGGTGTAGGTGGAAATACTTACTGTGTAGTTTATAGCCGACAGCAGCAATAACAGCTATATTAAGAAATAAAATTACAAGGAATGCCATCATCCAAGGTGAAGTGGAAGGAAAGAAGACATCTGTAAAATATAAATGGTGTTACTTTCACTGAATGTTTGTGAAACACCTATGGCAGGCTCCAGCCGCCAAAGCATATGCATCCAGCACCATTTTATTTGCTGTAATGTATGCTTTACAGGTTGCAGGACTCGCTTGAAATCCAAAATATCCAAAGTTCTGCTCTGCCAGCTATACCAGGCCATCAGAGATAGTATTAGATGCCTATGTGCCGGCAATCAAACTGGGCTCCTGCACTGCATACACCCATACTCCAACTCCATGGGTAGAGGCATGTTTGGAGAAGGTACCTCTTCATGAGGGAGATGTGCTGAGAAGCCCATCTCTGATGCCAGTATTTGCACTGTTGAGCCACATGATGAAGTTTTTCAGCAAAGCACAACTGTCCTCAGTGGCATTTCAGATTGGAAAAAAGGATGCCCCTCTTCCCCTTTTGAAGTGAAATTGCCTGCTTTCCAGACTAGGAATCCATCTAGAGGGAGGCACACGCTGAAGCTCAGAGTAATCATGGTGGTGTTAGGGAGAGAGAAGGGGATGGGAACGGACATTCGGCATTTCCTATTGGCATACTCCAGCTGTCTCAGGTCATTTTGCTGGGTATCCTGGCAGCATCGTAGGGTCTTTGTTAACCCCATTGACACTCCTAAATCCTTCCCCCTCCAAACTGGCACAGTGCTCTCAGGTGGCAGCTAATGAGAGCCCTGCATTAGTATTTATAGCTAAGTTGTATCTTGGAAGTAACAAGTGGTCTAAGACACAAAGATGGACTTCTTATCATGTTATCCATCTAAACACTAGTCATGTTTGTGCTTGAGCTGGGTGTCCAGGATCACCCCAGGGTCAATGGAGAGACAACGGACAGCAGCCTACCAAGTGGTCCTGACAGCGATTGATCCTGGAGGTCACTCACCTGAAATCAGGACTCGGGATTCACAGATTGCGTTGAGTAGGTTATTGACTACCCTGCAGAAGACTTCCTTGTCAGATCCCGGTTCGAGAATCATGGAACTTACAACATCAAAAACGCCTGAAGATGTCTTTGTGCTTTGGGTGGTCACTTCCTCCTTCCGTGTCCGTCCTCTGCTGTTCAGCCAAACTACTTCGGGCTCTGGAAACCATCCCTGTGACTTGCAGGTGAGGCCAATGCCCTGACCCACAGGACCATCCAGGAAAACTGAAGACTCATCACCTTTAGCTATAGAACAGCAAACAAACAAGCTCCAACAAACAGGAGACAAGATATTGTCTCACCAAACAGTACACGGTGGGAGGCTCTTCCCCAGATTTATCTATAAACACAGTGTGTAAATTTATCAGATTTGAAATTTTAGTTCTCATTAAATTGCTGGTAAATAGCTCTTCCTGTGTTACATTAAAATGGGGCATTTGCACGTAACTTCCCTTTTACAGTCTTAATAGAGACAGATCTTTGGACTGATTTTTGTTATCTCCATGAACAACTGGAATTAAAATAAAGTAGCATTGCACTGACTGGAAATTTCTTGGTAAAACAAAGTTTGACAACACCATGAATAGATTAAAATTGGAATACTGGACAGAAAATGAGGTGATGTGTAGGGCAAGAGCAGAAGAAACTGGTTGCAGTACCAAATGCAGCTTCGGTTGCTTCACCTCTGCAAAACCAGGCTTGTTTTACCATAGGATTCATCTCTCTCTAACATTTAAATGTTTTAAAGCTAAGGTGTTGCCTATGCTCCCTCTGCAAGACATGGTAAAAAGACCTCTATGATGGTTCAGAGTCTGCTGGAAATAGAGGTAGCCTAACCTATAGCAGAGGCTGATCTTTCATATGGCTAAGAGCAAGGCAGATGAATCCAGCCCATTGGTACCCCATAGACCTTTCCAATTTTATACAACTGGACAGAGGAAGAAGCAGCAAATGCCTGCCACTCCACTTACCTGCCACATCCAGGTCAACGACTGCTTCATCATACCAATTCTCAAAAAAGACACTGCAGGTGTACTTCCCTTTGTCTGAAAGTGTGACATTTTTCAGGTGAAGAGACACGTTTCCCTTATTAAATTCAGACCAAAAAAAATTTGTCCTGCCCCGGTATGTCTCATCCTCGTGAACTGGATTGCGTGAGTTTTTTCCACCATAAGTGGTCACATCAATTTTTTTGGAGTGTCCAGTAAACACCCAGTGAACAAGTAGTCTCTCAGGGATTATCTTAATTTTCAGCTGACAGGGCAGGATGACTCCTTTTCCAATGACTCCAATGACAGGCTTGTCAGGAGTAATAATTTTATACTGGCCTGCAAGAAGATATAGATGTAAATCTTACCTGTCATAGAATCATAGAATAGTTTGGATTGGAAGGGAACTTTCAAGGTCATCTAGTCCACCCCCCTTGCAATGAGCAGGGACACCTTCAACTAGATCAGGTTGCTCAGAGCCCCCTCCAACCTGACTTTCAATGTTTCCAGGGATGGGGCATTTACCACCTCTACCAGGCGGAGACTGATGGGACAACAGGATTGGAGAGGAAGATACCCTGTGACAGTAATCACATCACATCTCTGTAGGTAATGAGCATATACAAGCACAGTTTTGTAACCGAAGGCCCCTGCCATCCTCTGCCATCCTTCACCACTACCACTTATCCTAAGAACATAGCGTAACTTCAAGCAGATGCTGCTGAAAATGCTGAGCTCGGTCTGTAGACTGGTTCAGAGGTAGAAATGCCATGTCTATCATGCAGAAAGGCTAGCTCACTTTGTAAAGCTGGAGCTCACAAAGGCAGGATTTCACCTACCTGGTTTCAGATGTCCATAATCTTTTCACCCGGACAGCTGCTTTCAGTGATGAAACACACCACCAGAAGTGTATTTCATTTCAAACGCAGGCGACTTGTTGCAAAATGGCCGTTAGTGAAAAAGGACAAGCTTAGTGTTGAGGTTTAACAGCAAAAATAGTAATGGCCCTTTACTGAGCTTATTTTGCCCTTCAGTTCAGCACTCTAAAGTGGGAGATCCAAAAAGAAACCTAGGCATGACAAAGTGACAGGGTCAGCCAAGCTGAAAAATTACTCCAAAACAGAGAAAGGAAGCTCTCTGAAAAACAATTATGGGGGCCCTGTGAATCTATAACCCCATGTTGAAGGTTTAAGTGAGTCTTTTGTATTGCCTAGGCCTTCTGCCATCTGCATGATTGAAGTGTATTAAAATTTCATATAATGCTACTGTTTCATTCTAGCTTCAGAAAATGAGTGGAGGGAATGGTGAGTGTATATATAAAAAAATATGTATATCTGTATATATTTTATATATATATACAAAAAATCAGGTAATAATACAAATATGTTGCAAATAAAATATGTATTGCCACCTCCCCCTCCCCCAATCTACACCTCTTTTTTTTCCTTCTATATCTATCCACTAGCTCTGGAAATTAGGTATCTTTTTAAATCAAATTGTGATTAGAACAGAACCTAGATTTACCTGTGACCAAACGAATTATCTGTAGGAAAAGAATGATGTGAAGAGTTGTTGCCTGCTGAAATCTGGAACCCATCACCTTGCAGTTTTGTAAGACATCAATAAGCAAAACTTCTAGGGCCAATCTTACCAGACTCCTGTAATCTTTTCAAGCACAGAACAGAAAATGGGAAAAGCAAATCAAACTAGAGCTGTATGTTTCTCTATATACTGCTGTATATGGAGTGATGCGAGGACAAATCTGCAGAGGTGTTTAGGTACCTTCAAGTGAAATTAGGAAAATGACAGAATAAGCTGTTTTTAAAGAAAGTCAGTCAATTAAGTTGTGATTCTAAGACTTACACTTGGCCATCAGAGAAAAGAGAAGTATTTCTGAGAGACTTAGAACAGTATATTAGGTCTTAAGGGCCCCTCACAGGCCTGGTCCCCAAGCGTCCATGAGACACACAGTGTTCAGGAAACTTCTAGCCAGGATAGCAACGTTTTTCTAGATGACATAAGGCTAAATCTAAACCCAGTAGGATGTGTCTAACTTCAGACAGGTGAGACCCTCAGGCAGACAGAAGTCTTTAAAAAGCTCCTTTATTTCCAAGTTCTGCTAGAAAGCATCTACTGTGCACTGAAACTCCATATGTTGTATCTCTTACTCATACTTGCTTGGTCAAAACTTCTGTTGTTGGTGGTTGGAGGAAGAAGCTAGGATTTCTAGAGAGGATCTTCAAAAATGCCCGAAGACAAAAAAAGACTTCTACATCATTCCTGTTTTGAGTAAAAAGCTTACACGCTTCTAACATGAGTGGATACACGTCCCATTTGAAAACATGCATTCAGCTTGGGAAATTCCTGACCTAAGTAACACACACTGGCTGTCAAAAGATTATTCCAAGCCCATATCAGTCAGTAAGAGCAGCAACGGGTGAAATTCACCTGCTGTATATGAGTTAAGTAAGTACGTTTGGATACTTGGAGAGAAATACATACGTAAGGTGAAGCAACCTATTGATTGCTGTAAAGAAAGTCAGAAAGGATACACTGGCATGCAGATTCTAGGGGTGTAAATTTAGGCACGCAGAATCTCACCCAATGTTTCAACAGGTTTTTTAGTATAAAATGTAAGTAATTCCCTCCACCCAGAGCTTTCCATGTGACCTCTGAAAAAATTAGACTGACCTAGACTACTCATGTCACAAAACTCAACATGGGAAGACTGGTTTCCTTAGAGCCCAGCAGCATTTCTGTTCATATGTAAGGTCTACAGAACATGCTCGGTGCTCGCTTCCTTGTGGAGGCTAACCCACATGCATCTTTGCTTTCTTAAAAAAGGAGAAGCATGAATCAGTAAAGAGTCAAAAAGGAAGCTAGGGGTTGCGAGTGCAGAATACCAAGCCCATTGTCATAATCTGCACTCATTCATTGCTATTTCCATTGAAAAATTAACTGTTTACTCAAATGCAAAGTTAGCTTTTCCAAGATCTAGAGTGAAAGAAGGAAAAATAAGAAGGATTAAAAACTGCAGCAAAGCTACAGAGCCTTTTCTGTCTTGCTTTTGATTTATTTCTGTTTTACACTCCTCCAAATAAAGCTAAAAGCTCTCAGACACAGGCCAGCTATTATTGTTTAAAAAGGAAAGACAGAAAATAAATGCCACAGATTTGCAGCATTCACCAGCTGGAAAATTTAGCCAAGATTTATTACTTGCATATTCATGAATGCATCAGAATAATTTTATACCTGCATGATAATTCATTAATTAAGATTACCTACATCATGGTATATATAATAAGCCATATTGGTATATACCTACCAGACAAGCACATAACAAGTCTATATTTCTGACACAAAAAGAGCAAATAAATTTGCTTTCATCAGTGCAAGTATGTTTCAGAATCAGCACATTGCAGTCCTCAAACCAACCCCATCCGTTACAACAGTTTCAGCAAACTCTGTCTTTCAAGCAACCCACCAAAAAACAATTAGCATTTCAATGACTAATTTCTTTAATAAAGGTTGCTAGCAGGTAGCATCTGATTCAAAATCAAGATCATAGATCAGATTTAGGCATTATGCACTTTTAAGCAAGCAGGCTGTTTTATTCATTACAGTAAGGCAGTAAATAAAGAGAAACTTAAATGATTTCTAACAAGTTCATTAAAATGGCACCCACAAATGACTACCATATTCTCACTGATCCAGGCAAGAAAGAAGCCTTTTTAATTCCAAACTGGAATCATTCCCTGGGGACTGTTAACAGCAAACCACCAGCTCAATATTCATGCAAACCCCTCCAAAAACCTAAGCATGCACAATGCTGTTTCAGGCAGACTTTAATTCCTTACCTGAATAGCAAGATCCAAAGTATCCATTTTAAATTCAGCATGGATTATGGAAGTAAGGAACCTTTGGCTTGTATTGCCTGAACACACACGCTTTCCTTTTCCATATCTATAGAGGGGATAGACTTCACTAATTTCCTCACTAAAGCTTCCAAGTATTGAAAACCGAACTTTCACCATGAGCAATGTTTTGCCCTTGGGTGCAAGATTCCAGCTGATACCAACACACCTAGATCCAAAGTACAGCAAGAGGATTATGTTTCAAATCCTTTGCAAGTCATTTTCTAGTATGGCTTTCAGACAATTAAATAAAACTGAGAAAACAGTGTGAATGGGAGGTAGACAAACCAAAATGGGGTGTTGCATGAGCCCATTACCCACTAGGATGATTTGAAGTTAGAAGTATGAATATACAAGACAGAGACCAGGTAGGAAACCACAGAAATTTTAAAATTGGGCAATTTAGAACTTTAAAGTGCAAGACCTTCTCATGCACTTACACCAGTTTGCTTTATGTGCTAGAGAGAGAGGAAGTTAAGATCTGTAGTGAGCAGGAAAATAACTTGATTTACAAGACTCACACCCTTCACAGAGAAAAAGACTAAAGTGGGGCTCAATTCCTCTTCACTTAAAGGTGGGATGTATCCTGCATACAAAAGTGTTGTAGGCATGAGGCCACACCTAGATTTAAAACTCGGGGGGGTTTTATGGCCCCCAGGCAGGATCAATCATGTTGCAGAGCTGCCTGTCCCTCCTTTGACTGCAGAGGGAGAATAACCATCCAGCTGAGACCCGAAACTTCGTCTTCAAACAGCCAAGGTCACAGCAGCTTAATTGCACCCAGGCAATCCAGGACTGTGATTCCTTTAATCAAATATGGTAGTTTATGATACCGTGAGATGAATCATAACTCAAACTCCACTGTCTTTCACAGTTTACGGGAAATAAATGTTTGTTTCACGTGAAGATTATCTCTGAAAATGCAGGCACCTCTCTCCACAGACATGGTATTCAGGACCATCTTGATAAATTAATGGAAAGCTAAATCTTGACACGTTGAGGTGGGCTCCCATTATCAAGCTTCTGACCAAAACCTGCAGTTTTCTGATTATTGCTTTGTCCCTCACACACTACATCCTCAAAAATACGTCAGAAATGTTTTTAAAGTTACACATACACCATCTTTATGCAACAGAGAGATGGAAACTTAGAAAGAGATATTGCTTTCACTGGCTGTACTGTAAAAAAAAAGCTGTAAATGGCAACTTTTTTCCCTAAAGAGTAGCTCCTTTCCTGTGGAAAAGAAAGCACTGTCTTACTGCCTCATTAACTGAAGGGATTGGTTATTTGCTAACTATGCTCCAGTGTGCAGTTGCAGTTCTCTTACAAAACTAGCCAGCTCATATTTTCAGAAGCACTGCTAGATTAGGCTCATATTAGATGATACCAAAACAGCACTTTGTTACCTATCTCAGATAGCTTCTGATAAGTAACAATAAAATCTTCTCAGAAGTGACATGTTAGTTAGGCAGAAAAGACCTGCTGTCAATACTGACACTATGGTGATCTCAGACAACCCTTCCTCCACCTGCATCCCTAACAAAGTTAATTCATGCTTTCTGTGTGCCCATTTTCTAGATGGGATCATCACTCATGAGGCTGCAAGATGGACCTGCAGAATTCTCCTCGTCAATCATGACTCCATCTAGGAAATCTCAAGATTCACATGAGAAAACATCACATTTTGCATTCTTGATGTCATCGTAGGCTCCATCACTCAGCAGGTTCATTTTTGAGCAATCTCCTCCGTGCTTTCTTCAGTTTTGTCTCTGGAAAGACCATCTTGCAAAACTGTTTCATGCTCCTTCAGAAGTCTCCTTTCCTATGTGACTGTAGGATTTAACACAAATGCACTAGTCCCAGATGTCATGGTGTAAAGAGAAAATAAATATTTTTCTTTAGTTATCTTGGAGGGAGTTTGAGAGTAGGTCTAACTGAGTGTTCAGCAGAACTCAGCCTTGAGTGATGGGGACACTCTTGCTCTTTGTATCAAATGTGCCAATGGAGGTTCCTAAGAGTTATTTTATTTTATTTTATTTTCCCAGACAGCATTTCAGCTAGCTCAAGAACTCCAGCTATGCAGTTACTACAGGGAAATAGATTGTGACTGTAGCCCTACTACATAGGTTAATTCCCTTGGAATAGCACAAATACTTGACTTTCCCTAGACAAATAAGCAACTGTTTTCATAGCCCTTACAGAAACTTCGCAGCCCTGAGAAAATCCACTGCTCAACCAAATTCAGACCAAATTGATCAAATTAGCCTCAAGAGTTAGAAGTATAGAATCCTAGAATCATAGAATGGTTTGGGATGGAAGGGGCCTTAAAGATCATCTAGTTCCAACCCCCCTGCCATGGGCAGGGACACCTTCCACTAGACGAGGTTGCTCAAAGCCCCATACAACCTGGCCTTGAACACCTCCAGGGATGGAACATCCACAGCTTCTCTGGGCAACCTGTTCCAGTGCCTCACCACCCTCACAGTGAAGAATTTTTTCCTTATATCTAATCTAAATCCACGTTCTTTCAGTTTAAAGCCATTACCCCTTGCCCTATCACTACAGGCCCTTGTAAAAAGTCCCTCTCTGGGTTTCTTGTAGGCCCCCTTTAGGTACTGGAAGGCTGCTAGAAGGTCTCCCCAGAGCCTTCTCTTCTCCAGGCTGAACAACCCCAACTCTCTTAACATGTCTTCATAGGAGAGGTTCTCCATTCCTCTAATCATCTTCGTGGCCTTCCTCTGGACTCACTCCTACAGGTCTATGTCCTTCTTATGTTGGGGGCCCCAGAGCTGGATGCTGTACTCCAGGTGGGGTCTCATGAGATTGGAGTAGAGGGGCAGAATACCCCCCTCGACCTGCTGGTCATGCTTCTTTTGATGCAGCCCAGGATATGGTTGGCTTTCTGGGCTGCAGACATACATTGCCAGGTGACGTTGAGCTTCTCATCAACCAACACCCCCACGTCCTTCTCCGCAGGCCCGCTCTCAATCCACTCATTCCAGCCTGTATTTGCTTTTGGGATTGCCCCGACCCATCTGCAAGACCTTGCACTTGGCCTTGTTGATGTTCATGAAGTTTGCACGGGCCCCCCTCTCAAGCCTGTCAGGGTCCCTCTGGATGGCATCCCTTCCCTCCACACAGCTTGGTGTCATCGTCAAACTTGCTAAGGGGGCACTCAATCCCACTGTCCATATCGCCAACAAAGACGTTAAAGAGCACCAGTCCCAGTACCTACCCCTGAGGAACGCCACTCGTATGAAAGAGATGGGTACAGTTTTCCTTTGTAGTCTTTGTTTCCACAATCATACCTTTGTTTCAAGAAATAAAAAGAATCTGGCAAAACACCTAATCAGTAGGTTTTGAATTTCCATGACAAAAAGAAAGAAAAACGGGACAAAAGACACACACACCCCTCCACCCCAAAAATACCAAAACAAACCCAAACCCCCAAAACAACAACAACAACAACAACAACAAAACACACACAAAGAAAACCATAGCATTATACTGCCACACACAAAAGCTCTGGGACATCCCTTCTTCAAGAATCTTCAGTGCAATCTGGATATAGAAGGAGAGACAGCAGTCTCCTGAGAGCACTAAATGCTTCTTCACAGGATGGCCAGGAGTCAGAAAAACTGAAGGATAAAAATGAGAGGGAAGTCGACTGAAATTGTTTTCTGATCTTCAACAGGACATGAAAAGAACAATATGGGGAAAAAATTGCAACACTACCAAGATCCAGATATATTTGCAGAGGGAAACACCTGAGCATGCGATAGAAAAGTACCCTGCGAAGTTATTCATGACATACTTGTAAGTCTTCCTGCAGTGATTTCTGGTTAAATGCTGGTTGAACAGAGAATGATTTTGCACAGGAGGATGAGGAGGAACATCCCTACCTTTTTCCAGCTAGGAGTATAGAGAGATAAATTGGGAAGCAAGAAGCTATTTTGGCCTTGCAACACGAATCTTGGCAGCTACCTTTTCCCCAGTCATACTGTCCAATCCTCTCTAGCCCTATTGGAGGTGGAAAATGCAATCACAAGCTTCAGTGGTAATAAAGATATGAGGACAAAGGTTCACCATAACCATTTCCCATAAAGAAGTCTTAAGGTTCTTACTGTTCAGGTAAGAAATAATACTTTTGCTAAATCCATGAAGAAAACCCATTGCATTTACTTGAATTAACTGGTATGGATTTAATCGGTTGCACTGACAGGAATGAACCTGCCTGCTGTAGATGTGTTATTGCCATTTTCAGATGGGAATACCTCTCTCTGACAGCACTTGATTTTATCTGTGATTGGAGATGTGAGAAAAAAACGCAGAAAATCAGAGGAAATCAGGAACTCTTATATCTATAATAAAGTTGTGTTGTGCCCTTTCAGCTCACTAGTCAGTTTGAGTTACATACCTTTACTGTGAGTGTGCTGTGAGTATAGATTAGTTCAGCAGTGAGTTGAAAGCAAAGATCTTGAGAGGAAGTTGGAGGAGTCATATTTGTTAAATCACAAGTTTCTCTTTAAAATGCTGGTCTAAGTCAACAGAGAGATCAGTATAGTAACATTGCTCCTGGGAATTTATCTATGAAGTTGTTTGCAGGGTTTTTTGCTATACAAAAGGCAGGGGGAAAAAAAAAGACTAGTCTGCTAATATCAAAAGACAAGATGAAACGCTTTAAACTCCTCACTGAAAAGAAAAAGAATGCCAGTGAACATAATAAAGAGTTTCTGGAAGACAAAGGTAAATATAGAGGAGGCAAAGGCTATATTCCTTTTGCACCATTTACGTAGTTAAACTTGACAGGGAGATGAGGAAGGAAAAGATGTCTTGCAATCCTCTTTGCCTTTGACAGCATCAAACCCATTATCTGTAAGTTCATTCATATTTTTCCCTATCATTCTATCTCTGCAATTACGCTTGCTATTTTGCATTGAACATGTGAAGAGACTGAAGGAGTCATACGGGAATTTCAGCTGGAAGCTTTGCTTTTGGTCCTGTGGATGATTAGGAAGCCTGGATATTGATGGGTTCCCACTTTTGGTGGCTGACAGCTATTCACATACTGACTTTTCAACACAGATCATGCCTCATTACAGGTAAAGATAGTTCCATTTTGAATATATTTTAATAAAACAGCTTATTTCTGCCTAGGATCATAGAAATATAAAAGTCAAAAATAATGAGTACACATCTTTTTTTCTTTTTAACTTAGATGACATAAAAACATCAAATTAAAACACCAGATAAGACCCTGGTGCTGTCTGATATGTGTTAAGGTACCTGGGACATCTACATAGGCTGGAAGATATGATAGGGCTGCCGGACGCTTATAACCCTCTAGACTGGTGAATGGAGGGCAGCTGGGAAGCTCCAAGGTAACTCAGCACTAGACACCTAGATGTAGCCAACTGAATTGTGCCCAAGGTTTTGGATTTGGCTCGTGGATTTAGCTGCTTACGTTTAGCTTCCTAGAGGCAGGTGTCTGCATGCAAGCTCAGCATCTAGGGTAAGACTCAGAGGCTCATGCATTGGCATCTACTGGTATTTCAGATGCTGTAGGGTCTTCTTGCTTCTTGATGTTCCAATATAGAACAGACCTACCATGTAGCCTGTGTCACATTTGCCAATCCTGTGCCTATAGTATCTCAGGGCATCAAAGATGGATGTTGAAGGAACTCTATCCTACCCAATGAAAAGACTCACTGCCTGCTGTAGAATGAACTGAACAGATTATTGGCTAGATCTCCATTGACTATAGTAGGAATGTAGTCAAATCAACGACTGAACTGGTAGTGGCAGGTCAGTGGCACGTCTCTCTGTTTATTCAAAGGTGGAAGTTCTGCTTTTGGTCCTCTTGATGATTAGGAAGCCTGGACATCTGTTTTTAGGTTCCCAGTTCTGGACCTGAATCCCGCTCCCTGTGAGTTATTCAGTGCCTAACCACAGACACCTAGTGCAATTCTAAATGCTTTAGTGTATCTGAGATTTGATGTTAAATGGAGCTGGCAGATGTGATGGAAGATCAGCATAGACTGGGCCTCTTGGGGCTTGATCACATGCAATCCCCTACAGCATATGAAGTGACATTATATTTAATATTAAATATTTCCTACATGTTTTATGGTAGATTTTTAACTTGCCATAGAATAAAGTCAAGTTGCTGTGATATGACTTCTTTGCAAGTCCATGTCGGTTGCTATTTATTTCGTTATTTCCAAGAGCCTTCTTTCCATTCTGGTATCCTCCTTGGAATTGAAATAAGAATGACTGCTATAAAATGTCCTGGTTTTCCCTTTTACTCCCTTCAAAGATATACATTGTGGGTGGGATTCATCTTGTGTTTCTTTAGAAATCTGAAAGCTGCACATCTGACTTGAGTATAGCGTCACCAAGGCTCCCAACACACAGCCCTTCCCCGTGACAGCAAACCCCAAGTAAGACCAACCTGAACATGCTAGCCCCATTTTACCAGTGTTGTGGTTTAACATCAGCCAGCAACTAAGCACCACGCAGCTGCTCGCTCACTTGCCCCCCACCCAGTGGGATGGGGGAGAGAATCAGGAGAAAAAAAAAGTGAAACTCATGGGTTGACATAAAAACAGTTTAATAGGACAGAAAGGAAGAAAATAATAATAACAACAATAACAAAATGAGAATAAAAATAAAAGAATTGGAATATACAAAACAAGTGATGCACAGTGGAATTGCTCACCACTTGCCAACCGATGCCCAGTTAGTTCCTGAGCAGTGATCCACCCCCCCACCCCTGCTCCCTCCAGTTTATATACTGGACATGATATCACATGGTATGGAATACCCCGTTGGCCAGTTTGGGTCAGCTGCCCTGGCTGTGTCCCCTCCCAACTCCTTGTGCCCCTCCAGCCTTCTTGTTGGCTGGGCATGAGAAGCTGAAAAATCCTTGACTTTAGACTAAACATTACTTAGCAACAACTGAAAACATCAGCGTTATCAACATTCTTCTCATACTGAACTCAAAAACATAGCACCGTACCAGCTACTAGGAAGACAATTAACTCTGTCCCAGCTGAAACCAGGACAAAAGAAAAGATCTGGAAGAGAGAGTCATTTGCCCTTTAACAAAAGCTGATTGATGTCTGAGGCTGCCTGTTTCTCCCCATTCATTGCAAAGGGAACCTAGGACATCTAGCTCAGATGTAGATGACCAAATCATCATATATGTGATTCAGGTGTCAACACATAAATATCTAGTGTCCTTCTAGGCACTGCTGTATTCTGGTCTGCTCTGCAGCTGGTCCTTCACATGAATGCAGATCTGCTGCAGGTCGTACGCCCCATCTACCAGCACCATCGGGATGTCTTGCATACCCTAACGACATTTCAAATGATACTAGGTACCAATGTTTGGGCAATTGAATCCCACCTTTACTTTTTTGTTTGATAGATCCTGCATCCTGTGTTTGACCTTTTATGGACTTCTCAGTGTTCATCCATTTTCCATGATTTCTCAATAGCCATCACTTAATGGCCACGAAATTGCTTAAGTTAGTGTTCAAAGTACTGAAGGATGAACTCCATGAGCCTCACATAATGTGGACATTACTCATCTAAGTAATCTGCCATGTTTTTTTTTTAGTTTTCTTCTTGATTCCTCTCCTATTGACAGTGATATTGGTACTATTGGTTGCCTGATGTAATGCCATGAAAAATGAGATATGGACAAACAGAAACAACTGCCATTTTATTTTTACCCAGGTCAACTTATTAGCTCTCCTCCTGTTAGTTCCATCATTGGAGTCATCGGAGAAAGTGTGGTTCTGCCCTGCCATGTTGTAGCAGATAACATTCCTGAGGTATTCTCTGTCCAGTGGATATTTCATGAGCAGTCTCAAAAAATAACTGTGAGCAGATATGATGGAAAGAATAAAATGGAGAAACAAGACGACAGATATCAAGGCAGAACAGAATTCTTCCACAGTGAATTTAGAGCTGGCAACATGTCTCTGCACTTGAAGAATGTCAGGAGCTCTGACAAAGGATCATACACTTGTGTGGTCTCTTTCAATGACACATACCATGATGTGTTGATTGAACTGCAAGTGGCAGGTTAGTGGCAATTCTCTATCTTTTTATTTAAAGATGGAGCTGAACAGAAACATGTATATCCATCACTGACTGAGGGAATTATAATATAATTTTAATATAAT